TGGATGGATGGATGGATGGATGGATGGATAGATAGATAGATAGATAGATAGATAGATAGATAGATAGATAGATAGATAAGGGCCATATTGGATTAAGCACAAAACTGAGTTTGATGGTTATTCAGCATTACCATCCTATATTTCAGCTTTACCAGCAGTCCTACAGACAGTATTTTACACTGGCATTGCTAGAGCTGATCCATAGCTAATTTTGTGGAATGAAGGCAGATGCAAGCAAACCTGATAGTCACTGTAGCCAGCTAGGTTTGCAAAAGGTAAGGGGACCAAGTTGCTTGGGCTTACAGGTGATTCTCCCTAATTAAATTTCTGAAACAAGGATGCAGAGGAGGCTGTGTGCTGACTCTGTCCTTACTACTGAATGTCCCTGGTATAGAGGTGGCTGACTGTTGCAGAGCTGGTACAAGGATAAAAGCTGGCGCATTAGAGTTGATGCATTATTGGCAGCACAAGGAGAGCACAGACATTTCTTCTGTTCACTAATTATAATTCTATATATGTATATGTGTATGTATGTCTGTGTGTGTATGTATGTATGCATGCATGCATGCATGTATATCTTGGATTGGCTGCACAATAAAAGACACTATTGACCGCAGAGGTCTGGTACAAGCTAGAAGAGTTCTTGGCTATCACTGGGCTGCCAGTGAACTAGAATCACAGATTGGCCCTTAATTCTAAGACACCCTTCTGCACTTTCAGCTACAATTCATTTTTCTTCAGTCTTCTTTGTGCAGCTCCACTATTGTTCCACTTCTGTAAATAACATGTAACTGGCAATACAGCAGAGGACTAGTACATTTTCTAATCTTCATCCTGTGGGTTCACGGAATGGGCAATAACACTGCATCAGGTTAATTCAAGAATTAAAAAGAAAAAGATGTATTAAATTATATTTCTCATAACAACAACATTACAACTTATCTAATATAATCTGATAGTAGAGACAGAAGCCACAGAGAACACCATGCTTCCCTCCCAGTGAGAAGAGACTGGAGTATTTCTCCATAATTTCTTCTGCACAGCTCTGTACAGTCTAATATTGCTATGAAAATGCTGTTATTTTATGGTATTTTTAAAATGCCTGATGAGTACAAATATCAGTAGCACACATATATGGAGTAAGCAGAATAAGCAGCACAGCCTCTAATCCTATATTCCATTCAGCACTCCTGTTTTTAGCTAACGTAGCTAAAACTCTGTTTCTTTTCCTGTCTCTTCCACTTCAATGTGCACCACGATTTACTCAATTACAGGTAGTCCTTGCTTAATGACCATTCGTTCAGTGACCATTTGAAGTTACAGCGGCACTGAACAAATGGTACTTATGCCCAATCCCTAAAGCTACAGCTGTTACATTGCCCCCGTGGTCATGTGATCAAAATTTGGGCACTTGGCAGCCCGCCTACACTTACGACCGCAGGAGCACCTCCCACCCACCTATCTGTCTCCCTCTCTGCCCTTTTGGCCACCCTGCACAGTGGCACTCTTCGGCAGCGGCAGCGGCAGTGGGGCTGAAGTAGAGGCCCAGGGCCTTCAGCAGTCTCAGCTGGCTGCCACCACCCAGAGGCCTTCCAAAGCATTGCAAGAACAGTGTACGATTTGGAGAACAGTGGGTACAGCCTTCTCACAAGGTTTAAGAAGGCCTCAGAAGCCTTCCAAAGGCTTTCTGAAGCATTGTGAAAATGGCATGTGCTATTTGGAGAATGGTGTAAGTGGCCTTGGGAAGAAGGCCTGGCGCAGCCAGCAGCTGCCTCACATAGGGCCCGGCTGGGCATGGCTCACCAGCAGTGGAAGGAAGATGGCAACGGTCAGCTGGGTATGGCAGGGGTTGCGGAGCGCAGGGCAGCTGGGGCGGCTGGGGCTTTGTGCTGTGGTGCTGGGGTGGCTGGCTGTGGCATGGGGCTTGAGGCAGCACTCCTTGGTGTGGCAGCGCTGGGGCTGAAGTAGAGGCCAGGGGTAGTGGCAGCTTGCTGAGACTGCTGAAGGCCCCATGCCTCTATTTCAGCCCTAGCATCGCTGCCAAGGACTGCCACTGTGCAGGGCGGCCAAAAGGGCAGAGATGGGGGGGAGATAGGTGGATGGGGGTTGTTGAAGAGGTAGCCCCTTACCTTACCCAAGGCTCGGGGCTGGGAGGGACCAAGCTGGGAGTGGCTTGAATCAGGTGGGTCCTCACCTAATGACTGGTGAGATTTGGTTAACAATGGCAACAGGGACTGCCAGGATTGCCCTTGCTAAACAATGCAGTCACGTGACATTGCAGTTTATAACTGCACTGCTTAGCGACAAAAATTCCAGTCCCAATTACCATTGTAACTTGAGGAGGACCATTCTATGGTCTAAAAGGAATCATCTTCCAAAAGGAGAGGCGTAGATTTGGCTGTACTTATAAAACATCAGCTGATCATTTCTAATCCTAACTAATGTTTTTAGCAAAGGCTGATCACCAGTACCTACACCATTATGTATACCAGTGGACAGTTTGGCATCCTGTTCCTAAATATGCATGTTGTTTTAAGCAATAGGCATGCTTTTCTAGTCCTACCTCTGATGAAGGGTCTGCTTACGTGTAGATTTGCTGACTTGATACTGAACAAAACGAGGAATCAAATCTGGATTTAGTTTTATGTAGGCCCCACGATTGCTTCCTTCTTCATAGTAGTTTGAGGCAGAAAAAATAGTGATGACCTATTTGAAAAAGAAAACAAATATTACTTGAAATAAAATATGCTTCAAACCAGACTGGTCACACATGAAACAAATGGCAGAATTAACCAAGCACTACATTATAATTCTACACACTGTGAGTAATATATAAACAGCTCTTTCCACGGTTAGCAAAAACAATTTAAAAGAAGCTTATGTAGCCATATATTTTGTTTATGGCTCCGTGTGTCTAATAAGTGAAAAAAAAAATCAAGTTCTGAACACCTTTTAATGTGTTTTGATGCACCCTTGAAGGGCCATATGATAACCTTCTCCTACGGCTCAAGAACGGAATAACTATAAACATGCACTACCTTGTATTGTAACTCTTCTCCCTCAACAAACCATCCTGTATCCCCAGTTATGGAAGGGATTTTGTGTGGTTTGAAGGAAGAAGTCAAAAAACAAGAACATACCAGAAAAATGAGTTATCCAAGCTTCTGCCATTCATGCTGTTTGTGTGGAAGAAGATGGAGCAAAGAATGTCAAATGAAATGATAGCAGTTTTCTATGGAAGCAGAAAACTGACATAACTACTTGCCAACAGAATACTTTTCTTTTCAGCTAGCCTTTCCACCTAAACATGGGAACAGAGATCCCTCCTTATTCTATTTTGCATTGAGGAAAAAATGAAATCATAATTAAAACCCAAGAAATCACGCTGACATATTTTGAATACCTTGTTGGTGGATAATGATTGCCATATCTATACTGAGTTGAAGCTACAACTTTCTTTCTAGTACAATCCAGTACAATCTTTCTAATTTGTGAACGTTTTTGTGAAGTTTAAACTTCAAAGTGCCAATTACCTTCCCATTATGGCTGATCTCATAGCCTTCCTGTTTGCATTGGTGAGATCTGATGAGCAATTTCAAATTATAACGCTGCAGCAATCTGGCAGTAACATCTGGACCAAAGTAACAACCTCCTCCTCGAAATTTGTTTGGTGCACAGCCATTTTGATGCTTAGGATCGCTCCAGAGAATATCCATCACCTTTCCATGCAAATGAATGAAAATAACTATTATCTTCCAGTATTTGAAATAAATACTCATTATCCTTACTGGATTCCTACGCAGCATATATGTGACAATGAAACTTATGTTACTGATGGGCTAAATTAGAATGGTAAAAAAGTTAATTCACAATTCAGAAATCAAGATAATTGCAATCCAGGGTGGAGACAGTTATCTATTTAGCTTGAGTTAATATTGACCCATTTTGACCCATTCTGCCCATCTCCTAGCAACCTGGTGGTAAAACAAAGTTTTATCACAACGAAGTGCCTAGAGAGAACTTCCCCAAATGGGAGGCGATTGTGGAAACATGCATATTGATAAGAACGTAGGGCCCTTTGTATCCTCACAAAAATGTGATCTCTAGAAGACAGGGACTGCAACTATTACTCCGCATTTTCTTTTAGCTTGTGAGAGTTTGATTTGAACTAACCCAACAAATCTGGGGCAGGAGATTTCTAGTAGAAAATATTTGTTAAGCTTGCGATTAGTACCCCAATTAAAGCTTTATTTTTAATCTTTACATAAGTTGTTATCAGTTTGAACATCTTTATAATCCATATTTTGAAAAAAAAGTATATACAGCTTCAGCATACTTGCTCCCATTCCTTTGCTGTTAATTCTGGAGATGCATATGTGGAAGTAAGATTGTAAGGTTTAAGACATTGCACATTCTGAAGTGGGCTAGAACTGGTTCTGCCATGGATGCCATCAAGACTGTCTTTGACATCATCCACTTCCTTGGAGTACTGTCTTCTCTCAGGGGATGCTGATGTAGACTTTATTACATTTTTCTTGGAGATGTCTTGCCCAGAATTGCACTTTTTGGTTTCTGTGAGATTGGAACTGGTTTTTACAAGATTTGTTCTCTGTGGCTCATGGACTGCTTCCATATTTGACTTCACTGGTCTCAGCAAAGACTTTAACTATGAAGATAAAATTCGTGATCATTATCCTCAGAGCAAATACGCTGCTGTATACAGACATGCAAATACTTTTTGGTCAAGAATAGATTAATCTGTCTTTCAGTGACAGAATGGGAGCCCATTCCAAACATAAGTGGACACAAAGAAAAAAAAAGCATACTTAAATATATATGAATGAATGAATATATATATTACAATTTAGCAGAAAATTTTCATGGGGCAGTGGGGCCACACCCAAACCTTTGGAATGCACCCTCTTGTTGTTTGCTAAAGAAACATCAAAGAATTGTATTGCAGTTGTTCTTTCAGTAACCTTTCTACCATATCTGGGAAACAGCATTCAATAAGTAGCACTAGGTTTGGTACAGTGGAGACTTTTAAAGAACAAACCAGCTTCACCTATACGCCTTTACTTTTCAACTAGAGCCGTAATATTTCATTGGTGCACTAGAATTAAAGTGTTAATTAAAACATCGAGTACTGTAGACCAAAGAGTTGTTTGTGATCAGTTGAATCTAAACAGCTGGAAAGCACCATCTAAAAAAACCTTTTTCCTTTATGAAGAACTTGCTTAAGACAATGCTTGATATGTATGTGTATATACACGTATAGATATGTATACGGTATGTACATATACAGTACTGTGCAAAAGTTTTAGGCAGGTGTGAAAAAATGCTATAAAGTAAGAATGCTGCCAGAAATATATATTGAAATTGTTTATGATTATCAATTTACAAAATGCAAAGTGAGCAAACAGAAGAGAAATCCAAATCAAATCAAT